TCAAGACACCCTAAAAGAACTTAAAGATAATAAAATCGATATATGTGCCCTACAGGAGACGAAAAAGAAAGGTAAAGGTCAATTACAATACGATGACTACCTAGTGATCTACAGCGGAGTTGAAAAACAAACAAGGGCAAAAGAAGGAGTAGCAATCGCAGTAGCAAGAAAGTACCAATCAAACATACGGGACTGCAGTTATGTATCCTCACGAATCTTGGTCGTAAGAATGGAAACAGAAGATCAAAAACTAAATATAGTGTCAGTTTACTCACCTGAAGACAATAAACCAAAACAAGAAAGGGAGTCATTCTACGATCAACTCCAAAATACAATTCATCATTGCCAAGCGATCAACAAATATTAATTCTTGGAGATTTCAATGCCCGCATCGGAAATCAAATAATCCCTGGAATCAAGCAGGGGTTTAATGAAAATGTACTGAACGACAATGGAGAACTTATGATCGACTTATGCACATTCAATGAACTACGTATTAACAACACATTCTACGACCATAAAGAGCAACACAAATTCACATTTAGCAATACTAGAGGCCACAGATCTACAATTGACTATATTGTTACAAACAGATATATACATCCACTTCAAATATTAGATATCAGGACGTTGAACTCAGCCGATGTAGGAAGCGATCACAGTCCGTTACTTCTAATGCAAAAATCAAAATAAAATTTAAACCTCATAAGAAACTAGGACAAGCAACTCAAGAAGTTAAGATAAACATCGAATAGCTATGGGACTTGTCGATTAAACAACTATATGAGAAAAGACTGACAGAGAAAATCCAAGTAAACCCAATAAAAGCAGAGGATAGCATAAACACCTCCTGGGAGAAACTAAAGAACAACATCAAAGAGGCCGCATGTGAAGCTTTAGGCACCCGGTCTATAAAAAGAAATAATAGCGTCAAAATAAATAAAACTCCGTGGTTCCGTCCAGAAATTAAAGAAAAATGTAGAGAGAAAAAAATAGCATACCTCAACTACAGAACATTACGCACACGAGAATCATTCGAAACATATAGACGAATCCGAAACGAGACAACAGCACTAGTAAGACAAACAAAAAACCAACATTGGGAAATTTTCTCTAAACGAATGGAGAGTGACTTCTACGGACTTCAAAAACAAATTTGGCGCTTTATAGAAACGCAAAGAAAAGATATTAACGAGTTAGTTGAAATAAATCACATAGCAAGGGAATCCTGGATTGATTACTTGTCAGAACTATACAAATCAGAAGAAATAGAGGTTGAACTAAATACACCCGAAATAATGACCAACGACAACGTACAGATTGAGGCAGCCGATATAATTACATCCCTTCGAAAGCTAAAGAATAGGTAGATCCCAGGGCAAGATGATATCCCAAACGAATTACTTAAATATGGCGGCCAAAGTCTCATACAGCAGCTAACATCCCTGATTCAAAAAAACCTTTACCAACACAGGATACCCGATGAATGGCGAACCAGCACCACTATCTTGATGTTTAAAAGAGGAGATAAGAAGCTGCCCTCAAACTATAGAGGCATAAATCTTCTAAGCACCACACTAAAACTTACGACAAAAGTGATAACAACCAAAATAAACGACTTAACGTGCTTAGCAGATGAACAGCAAGGTTTCAGACCGGGCAGATCATGCACAGACGCGGTTTTTGTCATAAGACAGATAACAGAAAAATCAATCGAATATAACAAACCAGCGTATATGTGTTTTATTGATTTAGAAAAAGCGTTCGACCGTGTGCAGCTAAGAGACGTTATACACCATCTTTACAATAGGCAAATCCCACACAACCTCGTTAAAACCATACGAAACATATATGAAGCGAACCAAATTCAAGCTAAAATTAACGAGGTCCTGACCTAACCAATAAATGTAGGCTGTGGTATCCGACAAGGTGACTCCCTGAGCCCTCTTCTTTTCAACATCATTATGGACGAAATAATAGGAAATGTACGTTTACTGAAGGGATACAGTATGGGCGACCAGGAAATTACTATTCTATGCTATGCCGACGACGCCGTATTGGTAGCTGAAAATGAGAACGATCTACAGCGCTTATTACATCGATTTAATTGCACTGCCAAATCACTTAATATGATAATATCGACCCAGAAAACGAAATGCATGACGACATCAAAAGTACCACTAAGATGCAAACTGGAAGTCGAGGGCAATGTTATTCAGCAAGAGATAAAGTTTAAGTATCTAGGCATAGAAATCTCAGGATATGGTGATGTAGAAGCGGAGGTGCGAGAACGGACAACGAAAGCAACCAGAATAGCAGGATGCCTGAATTATACAATATGGCGAAATAAAAACATTGAGGTGGAGACTAAAGCGAGAATTTACAAAGCAACGGTACGACCAATAATGACATACACTGCAGAAACTCGACCTGATACAGCGAAAACTAAACAACTACTAGAAACAACCGAAATGAGAGTACTACGCAGAATAGCTGGAAAGACGCTTCTGGACAGGGAGAGAAATGAAAGCATAAGAAGAGCGTGCAAGGTGGAAAATGTAAATGAGTGGATACTCAGCAGAAAGGAAGAATGGAACGAGCATATCAGCAGAATGGACAACAGAAGGATAGTGAGAGTTGCACGCGACAAATCACCGCTAGGTCGCAGAAGCTTAGGACGTCCACGAAAACGATGGAGCGACGAACTTGTCAGTCTAACTGGTAGAGACGACGAAACCAAACAGGCGATTCACCTAGTATGAAGAAGGAAGGAAGAAGATGTTTATTTATGTTATGTTCTTTAAAATCAAAGAAGCGATTGCCATACCTTACTAACATCTACAGATGCATGAGCAATACATTTATTTTTATCAGATTGTATTAAAAACGCTTCTTTTATTTTTCTTTTAGAGGCTATCGCTTCTTTCATTATAATTTTGGAAGACTCGATTAAAAAATGTCAGATTACTGCTATATCTCCGAAACTATAATTTCAAAAATAGTCAAACCATGTCTTCAAATTCATTTACCCAGTAGTATGTATTAAAAACATTCTTTGTAACCCGTGTCTCAAAGAGTTTCTTAATAAAAATTAAAAGTTTTTAAAAAAGGTCCGATTAATGCTATATTTATCTCCTATAATCTCTATAGTATATAATTTAAAAAAAAGTCAAACTATGTTTTCAAATTCTAAGTAGTATGTTTTAAAAACATTTTTTGTAACCCGTGTCTCAAATAGTTTCTTAATAAAATTGATTGATTGACAAGCACAAGTTAATGAACTAAATACAGTCAGCAAAAAAGTAAAAAAGAAAGTTCAAAATTCTTTTAGTTTCAGTACTGAATTATCGTCCACCGCATTTAAAGAAATTACTTTATATTAATTATGAAGTTATTGTAAGATTTGAAGATAAATTTTGACCACTCTGTCTCCCAATACGTTAGATTTTATCAAATACAGGGTGTCCCAGAAATAAGTACAAATATTTTAATTGGTAGTATAGTTCAACCCCAGAAACACGCCTATGAGCTTTTTTCGAGAAATTTTTTTTAGTTTTTAGTTAAAAAAACTAATTTCTTGATAATATGACAACATAGGTATTAGATTAAATTTACAAGAAAGAAAATCCAAAAAAGGTACAGTGGTTCTCAACATTTTAGCAAAAAATCATTTTTTTTTTAATTTTTAAAGTAAAATAACTCCGTTATTTTGGATTTATTTGACAAACGGTAAAGAGTAAATATGTTTCTTTTATCGAGATCTACCACCCCTTAAAACACTTGCACTTATTTCTGGGACACCCTGTATATACTTAATATATGAAGATTTTCTTATTAAACAGCATCTTCAAAGATATAACCATTCTCATAAAGAATATGTTTATCAAGTACAGTAAAATTATGAAAATATGTTAATCAATAATAACATTAATAAGTTCTAGAATAATCATTCATCTTCTAACAACATTTAGTAACAAAATTACCAATTAAAATAGATTTTTTTATGTAATAAAGTTTTTTCGGCTTTAATTTAGCTCTTAAAGCTTGTTCCATTAATTCTGTTAATCGAATTCATAAACTTTATAAGATAAAGTTTAATATGCTTATCTTGATATATTTAACACTGTTATCAGTTAAATATACAGGGTGAATCTTAAATAAGTGCAAATATTTTAGGGGTAGTATATTTCGACCCACAAAACACGATTATGAGGTCTTTTTCGATTTCGAGAAAAAAAAACTTTGAAAATGTATTTTTTTTTTGTTTTTATTTAAAAAACATTATTTCTTGATAATATGGCAATATATTAGATACAAGATCAAATTTACCAGAAAAAAACACAGAAAAACTCGAGTGGTTCTCAAAATTTAAGCAAAATATATATTTTTTGGAAATTTTCAAAGTAAAATAACTCGGTTATTTTGGACTTATTTCAAAAACAGCAAAGAGAAAATATGTTTCTTTTATCGAGATCTACCAGCCCTAAAAATATTGGCACTTATTTAAGACTCACTCTGTATATCATTTCATATTGGATAAAAATGTAGTTACCACCTTTTATCCACCGCAATATAAAATTCTTGGAATAGAACAACAAGTTAGTATTATACTTTGGTAGTACTTATTTTAAAGTTAAACTAAATATTTGTAAGAAAACTTCAGCAGTCAATTTATAAGTACTTTACACTAAATTGTTTAATTGCCTGAAATAATAAATTAAACAAATATTTTAAGTAGAACAATTTTCATTTACTAAAAATATGTATACATATTATGTTGTTAAAGAGAGAATATACTTAGTAATGAATCTCATAATTCTTCTAATAATAAGATCTAAAGAAATTAAGTAAATTCGTAATTCAAAAATTACATTCAAAATAATATAAAATAGATTAAGAAATAAACAAAATCCTCAACTATTATCATGTCTTGAAAGAAAGTAACATAATTTTATTTATCACGGCCCACTTAGCATGTACATAACCTGACGTATACCTACCCTCACTACTAGAAGACGTATTAAATCCCAATATCTGATCTATACTATAAACAGCCCTCGACTTGCTTTCCTGCACAGATTTTGCCATAATCAACTCCCCAATTATCCTGCCTGACTCAGCAACAGCTCCAAAAAGATACAACTTCACCAACAAACTCGTAATATCACACCAAAACCGACACCAAACGACTGACGACTCTCCCCAAACTAAAGCGCTTCACAACCCTTTCGACACCCAGCCCATTCGCCAGACTCCGCCTCCGCTGCAACAGCAGCACGGGAGCGATAGGCCGCCGCGCATGCGCCGCCCACCCTCATGGTTACGCCTACCAGCGATAGATAATCGGCAGGGTTGCGCCTGTTAATGAAATTGATTAGGCCCGGGTTTATTAAAACGAGATTAAGTGAGTTTTTCAGGTGTTTCGAGGTGAGGAGGGGTGTGGAATAGCAATGGAGGGGAAGGTGAGGGGTAGGAGGCGGTGTTGGCTGTCGATCGGCCGGGAGGAAATGGAATTTATTTATGAAATGTAATTATAACGATAAGAAAGAGTGATTTATGTGAGAGCGGGGCTTAATGATAATATTGCTTTCGGAGTGAAGTGTTTCTGGGAGTTAACAGAAAGTTTTTTGTGTATTTAGATTATTCTTTATATTATTGTCTATTAATAGATTTTTTTTGTGTATAATTGTGTTTTTTATATAGTTTTTTAGCGATTTGAGACTTGATAGAAAGATGAAAAGATACATACAACCCAAGTAGCATTTTTGGACAAATTTTAGGTAATGGCTCTAATAATCGTGTCTGTTTTTTGACAAGATCCTTGTACTGATCTTTCCATCGTTCTCTTCTACGCACAATAAAACTTCCAAGTCGGTATCATCTCCTGTATCTTCTCTTTGTTCCTGCCTTGCTTCAAATCTGCAGTTATTTATTAGGGTACCTTTGGTCTCAAATATCAAGGAGAAATATTTAAAAAGAAATCGGCGATAACTCGTAAACGGGCTAATCAAAAATATCTAAAGTTATTCTTTTGAATGTGAGTTTTAGTGCTCTTCAATAAACTTAAATAGAATTATTCTCTAAAATAATTAGGTAAGCCAATAATTGACCCCATTAAAATTTACATGGGATTCCCTATGTCCCGCTCGACGATGCAACACCCGGTATAGAAGGGGCTTTAAAAATATGAAAGTACATTATTGAATTAAACGATGAATTTGCTTTTGTCAGAATTTTTTTTGTGCGAGAAAACCTAAAAACAAAGATCTTAAGACAATAGCTATTTATGTAACTAGTACCTAAAATGATGTTTTTTAGGACGAATCATTACTGTTTGCGGACGAGGCGTTAGCCGAGTCCGAAATAGTAGATGAGTCCTAAAAAACATAATTTAGGTACGTGTTACATACACTATTTTTTGTCATACGCTTTTTACAGTTTTTTAGAACGCATATTTGCAAATTTTCCATATTTGAAATTATAATGTTTGAAAAAGTTGGCTTATAAATTCATATCTTAGTAACGAGTTTGTTTATTTCATCGCATTTTGACATGTCATTCGAAATTTGTCACAAAATCACACAAATTCATCAACAATTTTAAAATGTTCCAAAATCCCGAACATATTGCTAATAAGGCCAAAGAAATCGTGTTGGATTTACTTCCTGTGAAGTCTCGTGCCATTTACCAGAAAGAATATGATGTTTTTAATGAATGGAAAGACAAAATGGCGTATTCGTTGTAAATGAAGATGTATTGCTAAATTATTTCCACGAAAAGTAAGTACCTAGGTACCTATTTAAAAGAGGCTTTTAAATTAAAATATTCTTAAATTACAGTCACAAACATTCAAACCATCGTCAATTTGGTCGAAATATTCCATGCTGAGAGCAGTGTTAAGTGTTAAAGAAGATATTTATATTGACAAATTTCCAAAACTTATTGCTTTTTTTGAAGAGGAATTCGGTTGGTTACGAGCCTAAAAGTCTAAGGTTTTGTCCATAAAAGAGATCGGTGATTTTTGGCCACGGCTAGTGATGAAACTTATTTACTTACTAAGGTAAGTTTGCGATAATGATTTTTAAAATATATAGATGGTTTCTTATTCCATTGTATTTGATTTTTAGGTAGCTCTTGTCATTGGCCTTTGTGGAGCATGTAGAAGAGAAGAATTGTACTCTCTACGAGTGCAAGACATCATAGAAAAAGACAACAGCTGCCTTTTAGTTACCCCTTGCGGATACAAAAACTAATATCAAAAGAGTGTTTCCGGTGGTGAACGAAGGGAACGTTGTCAATCCAGTTGAGTTGTATAGAAAATATGCTTGTCTTAGGCCAAAAATGTACCACATGATTATGTCTTGTTTGTGACTGTAATTTAAGAATATTTTAATTTAAAAGCCTCTTTTAAATAGGTACCTAGGTACTTACTTTAAACAAATAACTTAGCTTTTGATATTGTTAGTATTTAATAATTTAATTATAAATATATGTATAATTTTATGTGATTTTGTGACAAATTTCGAATGACAAAATAAAACAACCAAATAACGAATTTAGACATTTTAGTCCATAAAGGTTGCCATGACGACCTTTACGGCCTAGGCCGAAAAAGAAACATTTTACGGACTGAAATGAGTCCGTAAAATAGCTGTTTTTGGGAGCGTATGACAAAAATAATATTATATATTAATAAGTGAAATTAATAGAAGACTGGGAAATAGGATAATGCGTTTCATGTTATAGTTGATAGATTACCCCATTTCTCTTAATTTGTTTTTATTTCAGTACAGTTAATCACAAATTGAATTGATGTGTGCAAAAACAGCTATATATTTTCAAACATCTTATTTAAATAGTTCTTTTATATACTGTTAAACTGTATCAACTACAAAGTCTTCAGCAAAAAGTTATAAGGTAATAAATTTTGTAGATATAATTTATGAAAATTTATATATAAAGATTAGAACACAATCCTCTGAGGGAAAAAGAAATACTCAAAAACTCATTAAATATACTTTATTAAAATAACAACATTCATGCAAACGTCATCCATGCAAACTGTAATAATCGGAACATTATCCACATTATACCTTTATTAAAATTGTGTTCACGCTCCTGTCAGGAAAGCCAGAAATGTTTGTTTAAATATTAACTTATTTTAAATTTCCAGAAACACATCAGAATATGTCACAACCACAACTATAGGTCTGGAATCAGTACTAAATTTTATACCTAGTGATGCGTCAACTAACAAGTATAGAAAAAAAAGAATTATTAATATAGAGTGTACTATACGATGAACTTCTGCTTATTTATGAAATTACTTTCCTTTCACATGTGAGGAATACCAGTAAAATAAAACATAATTTGTAGTTTGGTTTGGTGTTTGATATTCTAACTACATCTATTACAAACCTTAAGTGCTTTTAGTGAGTAACTGTATTTTTTATTATTGTTTGTGTATCCTGTAAAGTAAAAAAATATATATTTCAAGAAATATAAAAACAATGCAATAGATATCAAACAGATTCATAAAAACTGCTTAAATTGTACATATTATATATTTCAAGTGTATTACCAACATTACCTTATTTAGGTCTTCTCTACTAACTCAACTTTTAAACCTGTTTTAAACCTTCTTTATATTTTAAAACTAATTTCCAACAATCTGTAATGCCCGCGCTCTTTCCTGAAATTAATATAAGTTTTAATCTATTTATTATCATATACATATTACAAACCTGAAAATTACTGATACGAGGAAACTTCTCAAAATAATTAGAGACCTTTTTAAAAACATCTGGTCTAATTTATTTTCACGAATTTGTGGACGAGTCAATGTTTTCTAATACGTTTTTAAGCGTTTTCCACATTTTTTGAATATCTTCCAGCCTATTCCTCAGTTCTTGATTGGTGAAAAGATTATTTATAAGTATATAATTAGTACTGCAGGCTGCAGGTTAAATAAAAGAACAAAATCAAGCAGAATTTGTGTAGAAAAATTTTTGAAAAAAATTTTTTGAAAAATATAGTAAATACTAGAAGGACCGTTTTAGTCCGTCGCGTCGGTAGAGTTGGAAAATATTTTGACTAAAATTTATTTAAGGGGTGAGGGTAGTTTTCACCCTTCCCGTACTTTTTCTTGATTTTTGTTAAAGCCAAATGTTAGAGCATTTAGCAAAACATAGACACGCAAAATCTCAATCAAATCGGAATAACGGTTCTCAAAATATCTAAAAAAATGTGTTTATTTTTTAAAAGTTTGGTGCCCTCTATCGGACAAACGAAGCACTTTTGTATAAAGATAAATTGTGTCCAATGAACTTATTTTGATTACAAAAATACGTAGTTGTTCTATGACTACGGAATATTGCAACGCCCTGTATAAGGACTATTAAATTAAATTGAACTCATTTAATTTTTGATTGTCAAATATATTAAACTGCGGTTAGTTGGGTAATCCGAATATACTATTTTAACGTGAATTGTACACACTATTGTATTATATCAATATTATGACGTTTAGATTTTGAAATTATATATTTATTTTATTTATAATTCTACCGACAACATTAATTAATTATTTTAATTAATGATGTAGTTATTAAATTTAGAATATAATTCTACATAATATGCTAAAATATTATGTTTTTAATATCATCTCTTCTAATGGTTTAGGTGTATAATAATGTTAAACTATACAAGATTTCCATTATTAGAACAATATGTAATTACTATTATTGTCGAAACCATTGATTTTGAGATTTGTATTAAACAATATAATGAAACTGAGAGAGAAAATTGAATATATAAAATACTTTATTCTCTCTACCTCTAATAAATACCTCTAAAATTTTGTTTATTAATTTAATGGAAATAATAAAATTGCATGAAAATTTTATAACTTTTCGTATTTTATCGGTTATTAATACGTATAATATCGACGAGCGACTGAATATTAAAACTACATTAAATTATATTCTATATTATAATTCCCCTTTTTAAAAATATTCGTTTGGAAAAATTATAAATAAAATATGACTTTTCTAAAAGAAAGATTAAAATATTATAATCTGTTAAATTTAATAAAAAAATTAAAAATACCTATAATGTTATATTATGTCGAAATAAATTACGTATTGGATTTCTTGTGTATGGGAATCTATAGTGTATTCCACTG